GAATAATAATAACGTATGATAATTTGTGTCTGAAATTATACAATAAATTAAATATTACACAATAAGTTAAATATATGAAAATGTATTGATTTTTTATATACTCGTATCAAATAAATGTAATATGTATTTAATATGTTGATATTCAATACAATTTTATTAAATTTGTTAAATTGTAGAATGTAAATAAATCAAAAATTTTCGAGTTAATATTGCAGTTTCATTTACCTACATGTTTTATACTTTTCTTTGTTCTAGAATCATTTTTAGCTATTAATGGTACTAACGTCTTTATTTTCAAATTTTATAAATTTAAAAAAAAACAAGGAATTAATTATTATGTATACTTTTAAAGTAAATATTTAGGAGAAAAAAAATCAATGTTGTAACTTTGTGGCATTTCAAGTTATTATACAGTGTATCCCCGAATGGAGTACCACAATTTTGTAAATTCTTTTATTTATGGTATTTCGAGAAAAAGTTATTTTTGATAAAGATTTTTGTTTATGTTGAGAAGTTATGGGCAATAATCAAAAACATAACACATACAGGACGGCCAAAAATTTTCAAAATGTGAACCTTAAGCAAAGTGAGTATAATTTTTGTTTTCGTTAAAAATTGTATTTAAGGAAGTTATTTGAGAACTCAATAAATGCTTAAATACGGGGTGTGGTCAAAAAAGAAAAATAATCACATTTTGCAAATAAGACGTAATATGTAATTATATATTACTTAAAGCAGACATAAATTGTAGCAAGTATGTGAAATTTTATTTTAATTTTAATTTAATATAAAAAAAAAATTTGTTGAAAAATGTTGAGAATGTTGAAAATCGTGAAGGCTGGAGAATTACCGACTTTAGTTTTAGAACTGTTACGTATTTGAGAAAAACGTAACATATTTTCTCAATTTTTACCCGCATAAAGTTCATATTGTTAGAAAACATGCAAATATAATAATGCAGAAAAACGACCATATTTTGATTTTAGATAGAAATCATCCGATAACTTCGGCATTTTCAACACATATGACTTGAAAAAAATTTGCGAATGCTGTTCATAATATTTATAAAATAATTTCTGATCAATTGGTTCCGTTGGAAAAATTCATGAGGAATGCACGTTATTTAATCCAGCCCCCGTAGTGGAGGACCACCACGCGTCAAAAGCCTCTTCAAAAAAGTGGATATAAGAGCAACAGCGCCCCCCTTGCGGGTAAGACGAAGCTGAAGCCATAAGATAGAGTTGGCGGGAACTTTAAACAGTTTGCTTAGCGGGAATTTTAAATACTGATGATATTAGGGTGTCCACCAACGAGCGTGAATTAGATGTATTTAGGAAACTAGAATTGACAGAAATTTGAATTGTATTTTCTAGGGGTTTTCGACACTCCTGAGCTGAAACAAAATATAATGTGGCACTTATGATTATACCAGAAGTAGACGTCAACTATCTTATTTAAAAATATATATATATTTTATCTCACTTTCAGATTCTACATCTAATTTTTAGTTAAACCTAATTAAACATACAACATATCAAAACTCAGTAATTTTTTAATTACTTCAGTTTTTATAACTCATTCGATCGTGATGAATAAAAAAATTAAATAACTCAAAAACTGTTGTTTTTTTATATATATTTTTCACAGTTTCGACACTTTTTGTCTGTGAATGCGTGTGAATATATCTTTTTTTCTTTTTAATATGCGCATTTTTATCTCTTTTTGTTATATCCCGAGATGTGTTGTGTTCTTGTATTTTTTTTGTGTGTCGAACCCCTCTAGAATTTCATTTTGTTTTTTTTCTTTTTCGGTTTTTTCTATATATCTCTAGCGCACTCTTTTTGTGGGACCCTCTATATTTTATATATATAATTTGTTTTTAGAGGGCTGTGGTTTTTTTTATTTTATATATATATTTTGTTCTTATTCTCTTACAATATATATACTTATTTGTGTTAGTAAATATCAAAGAAAACAGGAAAATGAGTACAACAGTTTTACAAATGTAAAATTTTTTTGTATTTTTGTTTTAATTTATTTTTTACAAATAATCTTTGCTTGTCCTCTGTGAATTTGAAAATGAGACAATTACAAATAATATCTAAAAATGTGTTTGCTATAATATCTCTATGTATTTTACAATCTATAAAAGACATGTCTACATATTTCAATAATAACTGAATAATCTTTGTTTTAATATTACAAATGTTGGGACATTCATCTAAACATTTTTTTATCAAGTCGTAACAGTGGGTAACACATTTAATCATATCCTCATTACAATATTTCAGTCTTAAATTAGTTTGATCATTTTCTTTTAAATAGACAAAACTGTGGAAATTTTCAATTGTTTCGCTTTTGAAATTATTTGTGCAATTTTCACAATTAAGTTTCAATTTTTTTAACAAAAATCCACACACATATGCAGTACTTTCCGATTCAAATGAATTTTCAGCAATAACAACATCTTCAATGTTTATTAATTCATTTGAATCGGAAAGTATTTTGTTAGGTGTGTGTAGTAGCAGTTCTTTCAAATTTATAAGCAGGTGCGCCTCGTCATCCTCACAATTTTTACTGAGATTTATTTGATGATAAATTATTAATTAACGCAGTTTTGACGTTATTCAGAAACTGATATGGGTTGGGATTGGTGTTTCCTGAGCCATATTGCCGTATTGTACTGCAAAAAAGATTAAAATATTTAGTGTCACATACTAATAATTGATGTAATAATATTCGCCTACCTAAAAATTTTTTCCAAAGGATCTTGTTCCACGTATCGAGTTTTTAATATGGAACCTTTTAAGTAGCAACTATGTAATTCTTTGATAGAATTAATTGAAAATATTAGTCCTTTCACACAATGAGGTGATTTGTATTATATTCCATTTTTAAAAAATTTCCACTGTTTTATATTAGGAATATGCTTATTCCAAAATTCCAAATGTTTGGTGTTTGGACCCAATGCACATTTTAGTGGTTTTCCTAAAGAAAACAATGTTTTTCATTTAAACAGATATTTTTAGAACATATGATGAGCTTACCTGCAATGGGTCTAACGGTCCGACTATTCAATGAATCAAACATAGTGTCCATTAGATGCACAAATTCTGCAGTGAATACTGCTTCAGCCGGCAGATTTTGAGATGCAGCCATCAAATCAATTGTTGCTGCAACAGTTGAACTGAAAATTTGGGCTGCATATGCAACTTTCATTTTTACGAAACTTAAATTTAATTTAAAATGAATGTCTCTTATCTTCCTCATGGCTGAAAAATATTAAACAATATGATTTTATACTAGTTAAATACAATAAAAAAAGTGAAAAGGAATTTAATGTATTTATGTGCCCTTACCTTGAAAACGCCGCGATGTCTATTTTATATGCCGCTTCAATATGCATCCATCTTGCAACTTTATTTGGTTCGTACTGGATATCATATTTATATAATGCATTACGAATATTTTTTATAATGTGAGGAATATCGTATATCATAAATATTTTTTTTCCTTGAACTAAAATGTGATTTTCACCATCTACAGTTTCTTGGATCAACTGATTTACTGCAGCGGTATTAGTAGATCCTAAAGAAAGAAGAAAAAAATAAGCTTACATTTCATATTTATTTTACCTTATTACCTTGATCACAGACACAACCAATTACATCAATCTCATTATCGATTAAATAACACAAAATGTGTTTCAATAATAGCTTTAAATAAGTTGTTTTAATCTGATCCTTTGTGAAATACAATGCTATAGGCTGCTTCCACTTGCCACTTACAGAGGACAACATAAATACTAGAGCATGATTGGCTTCTTCCTTTGTTTTCCCTAAATGACCTAAATCTACATATCCAATAATTGTATCTTGCGATCTGTCATAAGTTAGACCCTGTTTTAAAGAGATTTCATCGAAAAGAAGTACACATTTCTTAAGTTCTTGCGGACACCGCTGCAAACGTTTCTTTAAATTTAATATAATATGGTGATTAATTCCCGTTACTACTGGAATGTCTTTCAGTATTCTAATTATTGACGACTTTGAAGGCAACTTCAAATAATTTTTCAAGAATCGATAACATTTTGGTCCTCTTTTATAAACGGCTAAAGTAAAAATTTTATCATCTTGTGTCCATGAAGGTCTGCTGACTGCTGCATTTTTAAACTGGCTCTTCATAAAATTTGCCGTTACATTATTAAAATTATTTTCCAAGTCTCTAAACATATTACTATTACTTGCTCGTGATAATGTCTTTACTATGTTACGAGAGTTGCATAATTTTCTTTTTAATTTAGAAATTCTGGTGTTTTGTTTTTTATATTCACCATATAAAATTCTCTTTCTTGGTGTTAACCGTTTTGAAGTTCTTTCACCAATCGTTTGCAATATAGACTTCTTTCCTGTAATTGAAATAAATAAATCAAAATCTGTTTCAAAATTCAATATTTATTCATTTACATTTCTGACAATTATTTTAATAATATGTATATTAAAAAATTATATAAAATGGAGATTATTAATTATAACGTTTCGGGGGCCACGCTTAGCCAGCTCAAGGCAATAGCAGGTTTAAGAGAAACTCGGTATACTTGGTTAACTTTTTATTGAGCGTTATGTTCGTCCCTTTACTATCCGGGCACATACCGAGAGAGAGCATGTCACCCAGCTTGCCTCGTATTTATATACATATCTGCGCATGTGCGCATCTATCAATACGCCACACCCCCATTTTTAGTTGCCAACGACCCTTTTACCTACTTAACACTTTAAAATCCTAGGTACAAACACTTACAATTACAATACATTACTTACAATTTTTTTCCTTTTACAATTAGTTTTAAATATTCTCTATCACTTGTGGATACAGTAATCTAATAGAATCTGGGTCTGTGACCAATTTCCTTTTATATTTTCTATTTGAGTTAAGCTCAACTACTTATTTATTAAGGGGTGCTAGCGTTACCATAAAAAGTTACTTTTAACATTATATTGCTCTATGTTATGAAATCATTAAACCTTTGTGGTTTCTTCCTCACTCTCTCTGGTCGACTTCGGAGCGTCCTCTCCCTCTCGGGCTGTTGGTCCGTCCTCCTTATCGGTTGTTTCCGGGCCGTCTCCTCCCCGGTTTGTTGTTCGGTCGTCTTCCCTGGTACTCTTTCTTCCTCGTCGCATCGCTGGCCCATCTGCTCTGCTTGCTCGGCTGCGATGCCCTGGTCGGTGTTCTTACTGCAATTTTTATTAGTGTTAGTTTCCCGTTCAAAACCGTTTAAGTCAGTGGCATCGCTTCCACTTTTGTCACATTTTTTAGGGTCATTTTCAGTCAATAACACTATTTCGTCCAAAACACAGTCAGTCTCTTTCACATTATTGTCTATATTGTCTCCAATGCATACATTGTCTTTATTTACATAACTATTACTTACGGTCTTCTGTCTATGGCTATCGTTTATCTTACTTGAGCTGTCGCACGGTTTCGCTGTGCCTGCCTCATTGGGTTCTCGACCTGTCTGTAGCTTTCCGATATTTATGATCTGGTTTGAGTGCCGCTTCCATGCTTCGCCCGTTCTCAGCCTACATAAGAACGTGGATTTCCCTAGTACTCTTTCAACCTGAGCTTCTGTCCACTGTCTCGTGTTCACTTTCCGGTAGTCTCTCACCATCACGGCTTCTCCCACCTTAAATTGTCGTCTTTTACTCTGGCTATAGTGCTTCCGTTGCTTTTCTTGAGCCCTTCGCATGTTTACTGAGACCGCCTCGTTTCTTTGGAGTCTCGGTTCCTGCAAGAAGTCTAACCTGTTTCGCAGATTCCTCCCCATTAACAATTTCGATGGGGTTTCCTTCGTCGTCTCATGAATGCTGGTCCTGTAATTTAGCAAGAATCTGGAAATTAAAACAGACATTTCAACATTTTTATTTCTTTCGTCTAATAGGGCTGCCTTGATTTTATTTTTAAAAGTTTTCACCATATTTTCGGCTTGACCGTTTGATTGGGGGTTTGCCACTGGCGTGGTAATATGTTTAATTCCGTTCCGTTCATAAAATCTTTTCATGTTTGCTGCCGTGAAGCTCTTGCCGTTGTCTGTGACAAGCGTTCGAGGCAGTCCAAACCTGGAAAAAGCGTCTCGGAATTTTTCTTCCGTTACCTCACTTGCTAGTGCCCTCACTGGGTAGACTTCAGGAAACTTGCTGTACGCATCAACCATTATTAAGAAGTACTTCCCCTGAAGAGGCCCTAGGTGATCCGCATGCACTCTTGACCATGGTTCCGTTTCCACTTGCCAGGGCGTGAGTTCGGCTTTAGGAGGGTCTGCTCTTTGGTGGAGACACGGCATGCAGGCTTTTACCGTGGCCGCAATGTCTTCGTCCATCTTCGGCCACCACATATAACTTCTGGCTGTCGCCTTGGCTTTCGCGATGCCCAAGTGCGAGGCGTGAAGTTCGTCCAACATCCTCCTTCTTAATCGGCTTGGAATGATGACCCTATGTCCCCATACTAGCATATCTCCTTCGACAACTATCTCGTCTTTCCTGACGAAGTACGGTCTGAGCTCTTCTTCATCTAGCTTGGTCCAGTTACCCTGTACTTTTTCCCGGACCTTCCTCAGCACCTTGTCCTGCCTACTCTCTTCTGTCACCGTCTTACTGTCGACTGGCCATCCTTCATAGCTGTGAACATAATTAAAATAATTTTCTTTGCCCTCGTAGTCTTTGTCTACGGTTTTAATCCTCAACGGCGCCCTTGACAGATAATCTGCCAGGTGATTATTACAACCCTTAATGTACTGTATTGTATAATTGAAATTTGCCAAATAGATAGCCCATCTTTGCAATCGATTTGCATGCATTATAGGGATCTGATTGTACTCGCCAAAAATAGCCAATAATGGCTTATGGTCGCATTTTAACGTAAACTTATGACCGATTAAATATTGCTGGAATTTTCTTACCCCAAAATAGATAGCCAGTGCCTCCTTGTGTATTGTTGAGTACGCCTCTTCACTAGGGCTCAACGTTCTCGAGACACATGCTACGGGCTTCTCTTCTCCTTTAACTAAATGGCTTAAGGTTGCTGAAATACCGTAATTACTTGCATCTGTGGTGACGATTATGGGCTTTTCGGATCAAAATGCACCAGAATCATGTCCTCTGCAATGAGGTGCTTTACTTCCTCAAACACTTGGCTGCATTCTTTATTCCACCGAAATTTACTATCCTTCTTCAGCGAATTGTATATGGGCTTCAGCTTCGTGGCCAAATCTGGAATAAACTTGCTATAGTAGTTGACCATACCTATGAAGCTCCGGGTTTCACTGATGTTAGTGGGTGTCGGTGCCGCTACGATCGCCTCCACTTTATCCTCAGTCTTCTTTATACCTTCCTTTGTTATTTTATGTCCCAGGTACTCCAGTTCATCCTGGAAAAACTTGCATTTGTCCGCTTTTACAGTCAGTCCCGCGTCCTGTAATTTCCTCAATACATTATCTAGCATCCTAATGTGCTCCTCGTCATCTTTTCCTGTAACTAAGATGTCGTCAATAAAATTGCTTACATTCTCCATACCTTGAAATAATTGCTCTAAATGTCTTTGGAATATGGCAGAAGCTGGACTAATACCGTAAGGCATTCTATTAACTTTATATAAACCCTTATGCGTGCTCCAAGTGAGCAACTGATTCGCATCGTCATCTAATTCGAACTGATAATATGCCTGAGATAAATCAATTTTAGAAAATTTTTTACCTTGGTGAAGCTTTGAGAATATCATCGATTTTCGGCAAAGGGTACCTAACCTCTTCCAAGTATCGGTTCACTGTCGATTTATAATCTCCACACACCCTAATTCTGCCATCAGTTTTCAGAACCAACGGTGTTCCGTGCGGGCTGATTTCGACAGGCGATATCACTCCTTCGGCTTCCAATTTCCTCAGCTCCTCCTCCAGAGGCTTCTTAAATGCTATTGGCACGTTCCTTGGCTTACAGAACACAGGTCGTGCCCCAGGCTTCTGCTGTAATGAGACTTTACTTAGTTTAAAACATCCTAGCTTTTCACTAAATACGTCGCTGTATTTACTAACTAATCCATTCATTACATCACCCTTAACTACCGTATTGACCATGCTCAATTGTATCTTAAAATTTTTCATGAAATCTCTTCCCAAGATACTAACGGTACCTGAGTGCACTACATAAAATTTAACCTTCTTTGTTATGTTATTATATGTTACATTAGCCACTATATAACCCCTGGGTTGAAATTCTAGACCGTTATATCCCTTCAATACAAGGGCATCTTTTGATAACCTATAATTGCTTGCAAAGTTTCTGAAATAAGTCTTTTCACTTATGCAACTGACAGAAGCCCCACTATCTAAGTNCAACGAGCGTGAATTAGATGTATTTAGGAAACTAGAATTGACAGAAATTTGAATTTTATTTTCTAGGGGTTTTCGACACTCCTGAGCTGAAACAAAATATAATGTGGCACTTATGATTATACCAGAAGTAGACGTCAACTATCTTATTTAAAAAAATATATATATTTTATGTCACTTTCAGATTCTACATCTAATTTTTAGTTAAACCTAATTAAACATACAACATATCAAAACTCAGTAATTTTTTAATTACTTCAGTTTTTATAACTCATTCGATCGCGATAAATAAAAAAATTAAATAACTCAAAAACTCTTGAGTTTTGATAGATACATTTAACAAAGTCGACAAACTTGGAATCTGAAAACGAATGAAAATATATCTTGTTCTATTTAAAATAAGCAAATTGATATCTACTTCTGATATAACCAGACGTGTCATGTCATCGTATATTGTTTCGGTGTCGAAAACCCCTAGAAAATCAAATTCAGTTTTTTATCATTCCAGGTTTCCTAAATACATCTAAAGCACACTCATTATGGGACACCCTATATATTACATACATAATATGACTTTAGAAAGCAATGCAGTTTCTTAAATTAAATACATACATTGGCCTCATAATCTTACAAAATAGATACTTATTTGTGTTACTAAATATCAAAGAAAACAGGAAAATGAATACAACAGTTTTACAAATGTAAAATTTTTTTGTATTTTTGTTTTAATTTATTTTTTACAAATAATCTTTGCTTGTCCTCTGTGAATTTGAAAATGAGACAATTACAAATAATATCTAAAAATGTGTTTGCTATAATATCTCTATGTATTTTACAATCTATAAAAGACATGTCTACATATTTCAATAATAACTGAATAATCTTTGTTTTAATATTACAAATGTTGGGACATTCATCTAAACATTTTTTTATCAAGTCGTAACAGTGGGTAACACATTTAATCATATCCTCATTACAATATTTCAGTCTTAAATTAGTTTGATCATTTTCTTTTAAATAGACAAAACTGTGGAAATTTTCAATTGTTTCGCTTTTGAAATTATTTGTGCAATTTTCACAATTAAGTTTCAATTTTTTTAACAAAAATCCACACACATATGCAGTACTTTCCGATTCAAATGAATTTTCAGCAATAACAACATCTTCAATGTTTATTAATTCATTTGAATCGGAAAGTATTTTGTTAGGTGTGTGTAGTAGCAGTTCTTTCAAATTTATAAGCAGGTGCGCCTCGTCATCCTCACAATTTTTACTGAAAGATTTATTTGATGATAAATTATTAATTAACGCAGTTTTGACGTTATTCAGAAACTGATATGGGTTGGGATTGGTGTTTCCTGAGCCATATTGCCGTATTGTACTGCAAAAAAGATTAAAATATTTAGTCAAATACTAATAATTGATGTAAAAATAAATATTCGCCTACCTAAAAAAGTTTTCCAAAGGACCTTGTTGCACGTATCGAGTTTTTAATATGGAACCTTTTAAGTAGCAACTATGTAATTCTTTGATAGAATTAATTAAAAATATTAGTCCTTTCACACAATGAGGTGATTTGTATTGTATTCAGTTTTTAAAAAATTTCCACTGTTTTATATTAGGAATATGCTTATTCCAAAATTCCAAATGTTTGGTGTTTGGACCCAATGCACATTTTAGTGGTTTTCCTAAAGAAAACAATGTTTTTCATTTAAACAGATATTTTTAGAACATATGATGAGCTTACCTGCAATGGGTCTAACGGTCCGACTATTCAATGAATCAAACATAGTGTCCATTAGATGCACAAATTCTGCAGTGAATACTGCTTCAGCCGGCAGATTTTGAGATGCAGCCATCAAATCAATTGTTGCTGCAACAGTTGAACTGAAAATTTGGGCTGCATATGCAACTTTCATTTTTACGAAACTTAAATTTAATTTAAAATGAATGTCTCTTATCTTCCTCATGGCTGAAAAATATTAAACAATATGATTTTATACTAGTTAAATACAATAAAAAAAGTGAAAAGGAATTTAATGTATTTATGTGCCCTTACCTTGAAAACGCCGCGATGTCTATTTTATATGCCGCTTCAATATGCATCCATCTTGCAACTTTATTTGGTTCGTACTGGATATCATATTTATATAATGCATTACGAATATTTTTTATAATGTGAGGAATATCGTATATCATAAATATTTTTTTTCCTTGAACTAAAATGTGATTTTCACCATCTACAGTTTCTTGGATCAACTGATTTACTGCAGCGGTATTAGTAGATCCTAAAGAAAGAAGAAAAAAATAAGCTTACATTTCATATTTATTTTACCTTATTACCTTGATCACAGACACAACCAATTACATCAATCTCATTATCGATTAAATAACACAAAATGTGTTTCAATAATAGCTTTAAATAAGTTGTTTTAATCTGATCCTTTGTGAAATACAATGCTATAGGCTGCTTCCACTTGCCACTTACAGAGGACAACATAAATACTAGAGCATGATTGGCTTCTTCCTTTGTTTTCCCTAAATGACCTAAATCTACATATCCAATAATTGTATCTTGCGATCTGTCATAAGTTAGACCCTGTTTTAAAGAGATTTCATCGAAAAGAAGTACACATTTCTTAAGTTCTTGCGGACACCGCTGCAAACGTTTCTTTAAATTTAATATAATATGGTGATTAATTCCCGTTACTACTGGAATGTCTTTCAGTATTCTAATTATTGACGACTTTGAAGGCAACTTCAAATAATTTTTCAAGAATCGATAACATTTTGGTCCTCTTTTATAAACGGCTAAAGTAAAAATTTTATCATCTTGTGTCCATGAAGGTCTGCTGACTGCTGCATTTTTAAACTGGCTCTTCATAAAATTTGCCGTTACATTATTAAAATTATTTTCCAAGTCTCTAAACATATTACTATTACTTGCTCGTGATAATGTCTTTACTATGTTACGAGAGTTGCATAATTTTCTTTTTAATTTAGAAATTCTGGTGTTTTGTTTTTTATATTCACCATATAAAATTCTCTTTCTTGGTGTTAACCGTTTTGAAGTTCTTTCACCAATCGTTTGCAATATAGACTTCTTTCCTGTAATTGAAATAAATAAATCAAAATCTGTTTCAAAATTCAATATTTATTCATTTACATTTCTGACAATTATTTTAATAATATGTATATTAAAAAATTATATAAAATGGAGATTATTAATTATAACGTTTCGGGGGCCACGCTTAGCCAGCTCAAGGCAATAGCAGGTTTAAGAGAAACTCGGTATACTTGGTTAACTTTTTATTGAGCGTTACGTTCGTCCCTTCACTATCCGGGCACATACCGAGAGAGAGCATGTCACCCAGCTTGCCTCGTATTTATATACATATCTGCGTATGTGCGCATCTATCAATACGCCACATTAATCAATAATGATACATAGAATACATTTTTTTGATATAGATATTACATATACTTACTATGTGGTTCACGTTCAGGTATACAATAATCAATATTACGTGCAGTTCTCTTTGGTGGTGTTGAAGGATAAATATCATGAGACGTACTAGGCAACGAAGAAAAATCATTTGTGTTTTCCGTTGAAGGATAAACATCATGAGACGTACTAGGCATCAACGAAAGGTCATCCGTGTTTTTTAATGTTGGTAGATTTTCTGAAGGTGTATCTATAACAATTTTATCTGGGTATGCAAATTTTGTAAGTCTATTCTTCAACGAATTTGTAAAATGTTTGTCACTAAAATGTGACAAAAAGTTCAAAACTAGGAAATGTTTTGGTAAGAATTTCTCCCCATTTCTGTTTATTCAAAGGATCCACTGGAACCTTGAAGAAATGAATATTTTCTGAATTCGGATATTTAGATCCACACATTGGAATCGAACACAAAAACTGTGTTTTCCCCATCTCTAAAAAATATATAATATATTAAATATGTTTATATACAGTGTATACCTGCATAGAAAAAACGATGGTTGTAAGAAATAAACAAATGTTACATTGAAATATGGCCTTCTGGATTCGGTCGTGCTTATTTGTGAAACATTTTTTATTATCGCAAATGTAAGGTATAAAATTTAAACCATGTAAATTTTATTGTGAGTTTCTTAGATTAACTGTGCAAAATACTTTAAGCATTGAAATTTTGCAGCAAATTTAATTTAATTATACCAGATTTTGTTTCACGAACAGGCCGGAATCCACAATGCTATTTTTCAATACCAACATTTTGTTTTGATTTACCTACATAGAGAACGGTAGCTGAAAGTACCTACTACGATATAAAAGTCTATCTGAAGCACCACAAAATAATAATTAATAATAATAAGTCAATAAAAAAAACACACACACACACAAGTACAAATAAAATTTACAAAAAACACGGTTTTAATTTGTCTTCACCTTCACAATGTCATCACATTTGATCAACCACGGAAAACAGAGATAGACACATATATTTTCAAAAAACATACAATGTCATTATTTATATAATTTTTCTACATTATCGGCGGCTTGCACACTGGCGCCCTCCTTGCGGGTAAGCTCAACTAAATTCTTATTACCTATTTACGCATGCCTTTGAAATGTCTCTATTGTCTCTGGGACCACCATTAGTAATACGTCATTCTAACGGATTTCTCGTTCAGTGAAGGGGAACGGTCCACTGCGTCGGTAGACCAATCGGACCGCAGTGTGTAGTTCCAAATTATCATGTGCC